TTTTAAAGCAAAGAAAAGAGGAAGGAGAAGCCACCTACCAGCCTCCCTAGCCAACGAATCACAAAGAAGAAATGAAACGACACCATGAAGAGGAGAGCGCTCGGCCTCGAGGAAGAGAAGCGTCGGCCAGGTGGAAACCCTCGATTGGAGACTCACTCGGTCAAGCAGAGATCGAAGAGGCTGCGTGCGTATGCGAATCGACAATGGAATGCCGCGTGTGAGAAGGAGGCGAGTCGTCTCATGCGCGAATGACAGAGGAGACGCGGGAGCTAGGGCACGGGCGAGGAGAAGTCACGGGATCGAGCTGCTTGAACGAGGATTTTAGACGTGCGGGTGGAGCCGTAAATAAGGTTTAGGGTTTATAATTAAGATTGTTAATAATATAAGTATGAAAATATTAATTATTTCAAAAAGTAAAATTTGATTTGTGCATTTTAATTTGTGTGAAATAATTGCAAATTGGACACCCCTATTAGGTAATTTCGACATTCCGGACATTCCGACGCAGTCCGTTTCGCCGTCGGAAGTCGTTTTTGACGAATTCATCGATTTGCGTGTCAATTTTCTCGTGTCGAAAGTATGGCAATATGGGTGCTCTTTCCTACCAAAATGGGTATCCCAGACGCGTTGGCGCGGTCCAATTTTACGTCAGAGGTCAACCGGAGAAGTTCGCATTTTCACCCGTCCTTTGGGCTTAATTGAAGTCCGATTTCGTGTAATTTCGTGAACTTTGTGTATTTGATGTGTGTATGTGACGAAAAAGGTCGTGACGATGTTTTCGTAAGGCTTGAAGTCCTTTTAGGAACTTTTCCCTTGAGACTTCGCAAAATAACCCATAACCGCTCGCTCATAAGACGATGGTCTTGTGCCAAAATGTTAGACATCAAAGGAGATTAGGAATTGGCTAAAATTTTTAGAAGGGTGAGTCTTAATTCTAGTTTTCTAAGATGGTCAATAGGAATTTCTAGAGCTAGAATCTAGGCTCTAAGGAGGAGAAGACAAGACCTCACAAAAATGAGGTCAACACATTGTCATAACTAAGTGGGGCAACTTTACGAATCCTCGTTTCTTATTAATTTATGTTGAGTGTTGATTGAGATATCTAATCCATTTTGTACAAATCCTTTTCCATAATTTTTGTCCATGTTACTCGTATTGACTTATTTTATTGTTGTATGTTTTGCCCCTCATTATATAAGCCCAATCCACTTGTCTATTTTCCACTACCGTATTTAAAGTATTCTTTCTCATATAATCACATCTCAAACTTTTTATAGTTTTGTCTCACATCCATCTTAATTTTATCATTTTTCTGACATTCAATTGCCTATGAGTGTCTTTATCTCCAAATATGAATCCATATAACATTTTTTAATTTTATTAATATGAAATTTATTTTTAATTCCCTATCATATTCTGTTATTGTATTGTACTCATAAGTATTCCATTTTAACCATCAACTCTAATTCTTGAAGATATGTCCTCATGTGTATCACTCTTATATATACTTACAATTGTGATGCCTCTGTCTCATTTTTTTTATTATAACTTGGACAATTGTCAATGTTATATTCATGGAAATTACATATCTTTGCCTAGGAGTAGTTCTATTGACCTTGACCCTTTTATTAGTATTTCTCCGCTTTCTAACTATTCAAATATTTCAATAGGGGATTCACCAATTAAAGTCAAGCATCCATAAGCAGGACATATTGCAGCATCTCTGAATTATTGGAATAAAAAACTCTTTTGTCACTCTAAAATAATTTCTAATGCAAATAATGCCATTATATTCTTCAATAAGTTTAACATATATTTGATACATACAATAAAGTAAATGTTCTATGTTTGGAAGATTGTTGAGAAAGATAACAAACTGGAAGCTAGAAAATGGTAATCGCTTTGTCCTTATTTATATGTCAGTATATCCTAGTGGTACTGGCATAGGCAACTAAATGATACACGGGAAAAATTTTCAAAAGTAGCGAAATATTAAGCTGACAGCTGTATTATTTTCTATATGCACAGGTCAGGCTTCTTGGAAAAGTACCATTTAATGAATATGATCTGTAAACTACGATAGAGTTAGATTGCTTTATGGAGCTATGTGTGAGAAATAGAAATTGGTTGTTCCATTAAAGCTATTTTAGTCCTGCATGCTGCATTGAATAAACTCCCTTGTTGGTTTCCATTTGTACCGTGCAGTTCTGTGTCATGCGTTACTCATGGTAAATTAATGAGGTGTAGCTTTTCCAGTGTTATGTGCTATTAGTGATTTGTTTATTTTAATTTTATAGTTTTGCAGCTGGAATTGCTTATAATCAATTTTTTAGGTTAACATCCCCATCTGTTTGTTCTTTTCCATTATTTTTGCTTTGGGGTATATTCATAAGCGATCTTATCAATTTTACAAATTTACAGAGTATCTTTGCGTGGAAGATTTGGAGTCGGCTCAGCAGATGCATGCCTTTGGGCTTCCACTCTCCTTTGGATCGAGCAAAGCAGTAAGTGATAACATCATTCTGATACATTTTATTTTTAAGCAGCAGTCAATATGTTCAAACTCCTAAATTCTAAAATTTGTTTTTTTTTTGTTTGCAACTCTTTTTATGTGCTATAGAGGAACAATGCAACTTCCAGATCTAAAAGAAATGGTTTGAAGCCAAATTCTGCACGTCAGAAAAAGGAGAGAAATAACTCAATTCCTCAATTCATGGCATTCGGTCAAATGGAGAACCCTTCTTTATTAACTTCTTTGCATGGCATGATAGTATTAATATATCCTCTTGTTTATATGCCATGGAAGGTCAGGTTGATTGTTTTAATCAGTTGGCAAAGAACACAGTTGGGGTGATTTTCATATTGATGAATCAAAAAATATATGTGCTTTAGGTATCAGAAATGAAACTGGTACGAAACAGGTTCTGAATAAAGTGAGCGATGCAATTAGGGAAGGCCTTCTTAATTTAGAGTTTTCGCTTGATACAGTTAGACTTGAGTCCAATGTTGAAGTTTCAAGTTCGTTAAGTTTACATTCTGACAACCATCCTGAAGAAACTTTGGAGGATACTTGCTATCAAGCTCAATGTCAAGTTGATGGAGTTTTATTGAATAAACATGATCTCGACAGATGCTCAGTTAATTCATCTACATCATATTGTCATATGCATTTGAAATGGGACACACAAACTTTGCAGAGTTCTATCTCAGCAGAGCCTTCACTCCACTTTTTGGAAGATCACCATGATAACTTCATTTGTTGTGAATGGGTGGGTTGGATGGTTTTTTGGGATCCTTTCTACAAGAAGCATTTCTTCTACAATTTTTTGTCAATGGAATCAACATGGCATCTGCCTCTGGATATGAAGAACTATGCATTTGTTTGTATCAACTTAAGCAGAACAGATACGCATGAAGCTGCAGCTGAGAAAGATGCAGGGGGTGAACATTCTCGTGATTCCAACAGTGTTGTAATGGATTCGTTGACTGAAATTGGAGATAGCTTTTGTAATACTGACGAACAACCTGATGCTGTGCTATCTGTCAAAATTTCAGCTAAGATGGAAGCAGAGATTGACTTCTCTTCAAACTATACTACTAATGTCGGTGGGAATTCAAATGTGCAATTTTCACTTTGTCCATCTCATGTAACAGATGATAAAAAAGGTTGCTCTTTAGAAGCTACAAGTCACCTGTATTTTTATTGTGGCAAGCTTTTTTATTATTGTTAATGCTCATATTTATTTTCTTCTATTGAACTATGATAATGTTTTTGTTCCGTGGTAGTTTTAGAAGTACTACTTTACTGACTCGTGTATTCTCTCAAGTAGATGAAGAAAATGAATGCACGGATCTTCATGAGCAAAAAGAGAAGCAGCAGGATGACATTTTTGGCTCATATTATGGACATGATCGGTACATGATAACATATTTCAACTCCTTTATTATATTGTATTACAGATTTCCCCAATTTTTTTTTTCTCATTGATTTATGTATTTTTTTGCAGCGCGACGACAATACTAAATAAAAAAGGACATTCATTTAATTTTCCAGAGGCTTGCACGAGTTCCACATTTGGAGTGAATATTCCTCATGAAACTGTTGCTACAAACAAGAAAAGGAGAGTTAGAAAATCACGTAAGAAAATGCTTCAATAATTTGCTGTTGTTTTTTTGGGTAAATATAGAACATAATAGAAGCAAATTCAAAACACGAGCACAGAGTAATAATTACCACAAAGAAGCACATGGTTGTTCAGGTGGATTTTTAATTCTTTTTAATTGATGATTTATCATTTACATCGATCAAGAAGTCCCTGCAATATTTTTATTTGAGGTTGTGGTTGAAAACCGTTCAACCACATGGTTAGATAACGGCCATCCCAAGATTCCTCTTAGGGATTTGAGTCTAGGGTTTCTTATGATGGATGATTCGAGGCACAGTGCCACTTGGAAATATTAGGGTTATGATATGATCTGAAGTGTTCGATCAATATACAAGTAATTGAGAGGCTAAAGTACGGGTAAAAATCAAGATTAGGTCAATTGACCTAGTATGAACAGATTTGACTTGTCTTAAAATATCTGGTTTGTGGAGGGTCTAAAGGTGTATTGTGAGGCTTAAAAAGCTATGGCATGTTAGGAAAATGCTTGGATGTCTGATCTAGAGTAAAAGGTGGAGATCCAATTCATTTTATTTAAGGGTGATTGAGGACGGAGTAACAAAACTTGGATGAGAGAACCCCTGTTGTGACTGTTGGCTTTAAAAGAGGTTCGAGTCTATTTTGGTATGGCAGTAGGTTGTAGGGTAGTTTGGGACGATGTTAGGAGAATGAGATATTATGTTTATGAGAAATTGGGAGAGCAATTTAGCAAGTAGAAGAATGATATTTAGGTCTTTCACTGAAGACAACCTAAATAGAAGGGGTTAGCTATCAAGCTTTCAAATCTAGAAATTTCACTCTTAAATATTTTTTGAAAATATCAAAATTCTCTTGTTTATTCATTGAAATGTTATCTAAATTACCATATGAATTTTCAATGTTTGATTTTTAAATACTAAAACATGGGGTAAATGCTAAAAGTAAGGGGGAAATAAAAGCTTGGTGGGCCAAATAAAAAAAAAAAACAAATTAAAAGCACAAATTAAAAGCACTCCAATTCTCCAATTCTACTCTTAACAGGGGACGGCGGGCTTTAATGACCTTTAAATAAGGCAAACTTATTTTAATATAAAGGAAAAATAGTTTCATAGCTTATAACTTGGAGGGAGAATCCAGGGTTGATTATTTAAAATTTTAAAATTTGAATTTAAATATTTAATTTTCATTATAATTTCATTATATTCCTATGTCGGCATTTTATTATTCATTTTTGATGATAGAACATCAATTATTTTGATGATGAACAACTCTTTGGTTTCAGTACAAATCAACACATAAAGTCCTATTTCTTATTCTTTGGAATAACAATTGTGCTGTACTTTTTTAACATATTTTACGTTGCTTTTAGCTATCTATTCTCTTACTCAGTTGAAGGATTTGAAATTCTTTTATAAATATTGGAGTAGAATAATAAAAAAAAAAGTGTGTTTGGGAGTGCAACTACATAACTGATTTTTTTTGAATTTTGTGCATTGACTATCTCAAATAATATTTTCTTGATATTGGTAGGTATAGTTTTACATTATGCAAGCTTAGTAGTGGGTAGATGAAGATCTTAGTATCATTTTTTTTAATAAACCATTTTAATAAATCCCAATTGTTCCATTTAATAACCTCAGTTTGGCCATTAGTTAGTCTAAAAGTAGCAAAAATTAATTTTGTACGAAGTTTCTTCCTTAATATTTCTCAAAGAAGAAATAAATATCACATTTCTATCTAACAGTGTTGAAGGGTAGGCCATGTAATCTAATATTCTCCTTGGAGAAAAAATCTTGCTACGAGTGATGTATGATGTACCCAAGTAAGGTGTGAATTTTCCATCTCTTAGAATTTATCTAAGATCATAGGGGCGCATGGTGCTATTATGTCTTATTGTAGTTTTTGGCTACCTTAAGATAAAATTTATAATCAAATTTTTCTAAAGCCTATTGGAAGTCGGGATGCAATGCACTTTAATGATCTCTATCTGAATCTTTATCTTGCTTGCAAGTGTGATATTGAGCCACTAACTTCTGAACTATCCTCTTTAGCAAGGACCGGTAAAGCATGGAGTCCATCAAACGTAGTCTTATTCTTCCCAAAATGATTTGCTGTGTTTCTAGAATGTAGCTCAACCATGAGGAATTTCTTAAGGATCTTGGTGTGTGTTCAATGGCTAAGATAAATGGCATAGAAAGCAAGACATATAGATTACTCTTCCTTAAGTTTATATAAATAAGGTATTTGAAATTCTAAAAGAAGATATCACTGATTTCATCTAGGATATCTGTTGGTTTATTATTTTTTCTATGCTTATGTTTCAGGACGAATAAAAAATCTTTTGTGAAGCTTAGAGTGCTTATGATTTAACCAAGTTTGGGTGTTTATATTTGTAAATTTTTAGGTATGATGAATAACGTGTAGAATAAAATCTGTGTAGTGTCCAATTCTTCTAATATTTTAAAAATCCGATGGCTGCATATTTTCTATATCATAAGTGTGTACTTGTTTTGCATTGTTCAACTTCTTATTATAGAGGGCCACTAGTATTTTTTTTTAGCTCGGGATGTCATTTATACCAATCTCAACACATCACATAATACTTCAAATGATATTGAAAAATTAGGAAGTCCAAGAATCGATCATATGCTATTAGGATTTTATTTATTGTCCTATGTGCGCTGGGATTCTAAACAAAATTATCGCTCATAAATATATCAATGATGAAGTAATAATGACACCAAAATTCTTGATGAATCTCTTATAAAAGGAGTTAGGCTACGAAACGCGTTGCCTTAGGAAACTAGTTGGGGTAGGCCAACTTAAGACTGCTTTAGACTTGGAGGAATTAGGTTTAATTAAGTTATAGATTTAATGAGCACTAGGAGTACATCTTTGTTTGCAGAAAGAAATATTTTTTAAAATTGATATGAAAGTTTTCTTGCTGAAATGTGTAAAATATTAACATGAGATGTTTTAAGTGCTCACTCTCTCTAGGATTGAAAATGAGCATGTCATCAAAATATATTTCAATTTTTTTTTTTAAACATGGCTTCGACATAATTTCACTACTCATAAATATATTATGAATAGTAGTTGTGTCGAAGGGCGTAACTAGTTGCTTATAGAAAGGTCTTGAAAGTGGTCATCCACTTATTTACAATCTAGATATTTATTTGGGGGATTTACTCTTAATTCTAGCTTGGAAAAGTTGTTAGCCGAGAGATAACGTTTATCATGTTATCAAGCCTAAGTATAGAGAACTTTTACCTAATTGTTATCTTATGGATGACCCTACAATCTGCGTGAATTCTTTATTTGCCATGTTTTCATTTGAGCCATTAGAGCAAGAACTACACATGAGCTAAGGGCTTCTTAGACAAACATTTTTTAAGTTGTTCATTAACTTGCCAATTTTAGCTCCACATGCATTGAGTTGATTCTTTATTGGAGTTGATTCTAGAGTTGAGACATAGTGATAATGTTTATAACATGTATATTTTTTAAATGTGATAACTTATCTATCAAATTCTTAGGGACAATAACACTCAAATCCGATAGAAAAGGGTCAACCACAATACATATACAAGTCTCCATCAATTCAGGAATATGATCCAAATCTTGAAGCAATAGAAGTGAGGAAAGTTAAGTAAACTCGCACATGATATTAGATCCACCCCGTTTTATTCTATAACATTTTTTAATTTATGGTGGTGGAATTTGATACTTAATTACTTCCCTCATTATTATGGGACTTAATATCTGTAGTTGATTTAGAACAACTAGATTCGTTTTTCCTTGCGACAACCATCTATGGGTGTCTCTCCTGTGCCACTTGCATTCATGTGGATCACCCTCTCAATATTCACATGTCTTTACCCTAACCATGGTTGTTTGTGTGCAACTCGCACATGCCATCCGTGTTCGTGGGGATCGCACTCGCTCGCATCTGTGCTAGGTCGTGTCGCCCATTGTAGGTGCCCATGTTTCAGCTTAGTGCAACATTCTTTCTATCCGATCACATGTCTAGACTAATGCTTTATTGCTAGCTCATATGTTGCTACTAAGCTCTATCTTTTTAAAAAACGCCTCGTGACGTTGGTTTTCTACTCTGGTGGCATCCTACTTTTGTAGAAATGTACCTCCCTCCCATTTGTCCCAAAGGACTTGTTGGTCTTCTCGTTTTTCCCATCTTCGGCGAATTTGTTGTCTGCACATATGTTTGCTACTAAGCGCTCTATTTATACAACGCTTCATGGCTTTAGTTTTCTACTCTGGCGACATGCTTACTTTTGTAGAAATGCACCTTCCTTTCGTTTGGCCGAAGGATTTGTTGGCCTTCTCAATTTTCCCTTCTTTGGTGAATTTTTGCTCCACCTTTATCTTCATTGTCATGATTGCTCCTTCATCTTCGATTAATGCTCTGCCTGTAGCTTCACTTTTTAATCCCCAATCTCCCATACTGTCGATTCTTCAACATTGCTCCTTTGCTTTTCCTTTTTTTGCCTTTCTTAAGGTTGCTCTTGAAACCTCTATTAGGTCATTTCTCATACCCTAGTTGTACTCATGTCGACCGTTATTTTAATTTTCAAAAGAAATATGATTTTGAAAGTAACATTTTAATTTGAAAAATAGATGAGACCAAACGAGTCTCACATTTTGGATAGTTTGGATGACTAAGCACGATACCACAAGTAATACACTTATAAAGAATAAACATAATAAAAATATCACTTATAGTAGACTCAATCACCTAAACTAAAGAATTTGTGACATCCGTATGGTCTGCGAGATATTTTATATTAGGCAAACAAGTTCCTCTACCTAATATGAGGATTAGATAAGATTTATTTTACATGAGTTCGAAATTCCCTATAGAGACATAGTTAATTACATCTTAAATGACTGGGGTCACTTAAGAAAACTCTCGATTAAGATCAGTGGTTTTACTTTCCAGATTTCAAAGTTTAGGTTTCCAAGATTGAACACGGGAAAA